TTAATCTCACGGGACACTTTTCTAGTAAAAGTGATTTTTCTCAGAAACGACAAAATATTTTGAGCTTAAAATTTGGGCATATGCTCTACATCATCGTAGATAAAAGGAGTAAGAAAATTGCGGAGAAAACTTTAGTATGAACGACGATTTCAGAAAAACAAAATCGAAAACGTATACTCTCTAAAAAAAGGTATTTTAAATATGGAAAATGGAATAACCATTTTAACCATATCATAACTGTTTAAACGTTTTTTACTTTTATCAGAAAACCCTTTTGGCAGTTTTAGAACACGACAAAGCCGTGATTTAACAAACCTTGAATTGCTTTGGTATTTTAAAATATCTAAAAGGTTTTTTTGTGACGTGAAGAAACCTCAATCGTTTTTCAGAACATAATTTAGCCGTATTTTAGAAAATGAAAATTAGTTTTTTGATAAGAATAAGAAACTTTTAAACAGTTATGATATGATTCAAATGGTTATACCCTTTAAACATTTTTCACGTGTGGTTAAACCTGTTTTGTGACAGTTTTCAGTGTTTTAAGCCTTAAAATAGCTTTAAATTTTTTCTTTCATTTTCTAGTGGTTCTTCTCTCTGTTCGTTCGAGAGAGTGGAAGAGCTCACTAGCTAGGACGTATATAACACGTCTGTTGAACAGTATGAGCGATGACCCACACCGTTAAGAATCTGACTGTCTCATTTTTCATTTTCTGTATGTCGTATTAACCCTTTAGTCCCCTTGGTCACTGGAGTGATCATTTGTAGTACGATTGTGAAAAATAATTGAAGCATGGAATTCAAAAACTTTAGGAACATTTCTTGTAGTGAACTCCATAAGCTATCGATTGAAAATAAAAATATCGAAACGCGAAGGTATTGAGCAGCTTCCGATCTACGGATCCGATCGGACGTCCGATCTTCGGAAATCACCGGAATTAAAAGATTCGACCTGGGATGTTCTTCTTTTAGACCGAGTATATGCGCATCTTGTCGTGTATGAGATAAGATACGCTATACGCCAGAGGTGGACGATGGACCATCTTTAGCTCCATCGCGGGGATCCCCTCGCAAACTTCTTGTCTCGTCGTCGCCCCGTACCTCGCTGAGTTTTGAAAATACTACTTAGCGAGGATCGCTCCGTAAGTTTTCTGCTACGTCGCCGGCTCGTCCATCGTCAATAAAATTTTCCCATGTTTCACATGATACAAAGCCTTATATAATATCAAATGGATCGTTTGTTCATTCTTCACAGCTGGTAAACCAAACCTCTTCTAACAAAGTGTATTTTCTTTAACTTTCATATTATCAATGATTTTATACTTCCCCAGGTCAAACAAATCGTATACGATCGAGTCTGAATCACACAAAATCGTGCCAAATCGTATGAAAATCATATATGAATCGTGGTATCTGACTTGTCCTCTGGATCGTATAATACGATCGTACAAGATCATATACGATCATACAACTTGGTATGAAATCGTATAATACGAACCAGATGACAAATCAGATACCCTTATAGTTTATACAGATAGTTTTGTTAGTTGTTTTATACAGATAGTTTCTTATAGTTTTACAGTTAGTTTATACAGATTAGTTTAGTTTAGTCTTCCTTTAAAAAGATTTTAATACTTAATTAATATGTCAAATGTGATGGACGATAATAACGATATAGCCACAGGCAATGCTATAATTATAGACAAAGAGGTAGATATATCGAATGAAAAAGAGCAACCGAGAAAGAGATATAATATAACATTCTTGATTATGATTATAACACATGACTCTGTTCAAGAAAAAAAGAGAAATTATAAAAGAAGAAAAACATCTTTCATTAGAGAAAAGACAGTGATTAGTTCCTCTTCAAATTGTTTGATAGAGCAGTTTTTAAATTAAATAATTTACTTATGAAGCACAATACTGCTATGAACATGATTATTATAATCACACGTAACTTCTATCCATTGATATTTCGACAGGGTCTCCTCTCATTATCAGAATGAAAGGAACAAGTGTATATACGAACTATCTAGCACAGTGTCAAAAAGTAATTAAGAGAGAAAAAGAATAAACACGTAGTAGTACAAGACTGTTATGAACATGATAGCAATATTATACTTCATAAGTAAATTATTTAATTTAAAAACTGCTCTATTAAACAATTTTATTTTTAACACTTGCCGAAAGTACGGTGATGTAGTTTTCAATTCGATAAGACATGTAGCAAAACTATCCGTGAAACACCAAAAATGTAAATGTGATTTAGAATATTTACGACTGTGTTAAATATATAATCTGAATCCAAAATTTATTAGATTTAGACTATGGAAGAACCAGATGAAATCTCAACCAGAATATCAACAATTTTAACGTCAATGCATTCAAAATGAATATAAAAATAGACATCGAGATTCATTGAAATTAAAGAATAATTTTAATTGTATTATGACTGTATTGAAAAAGAAACTATCAACAGATTACAACAATTCAGAACAAGGGAAAAAAGTGTTTTGATCATCAAAAATGATTGTTTTAATCATCAAATTTCTTTCTATCGAAATGCTCACCAAAAAAGACCATTTTTGGGTAGTGACAGTGGAGTGCATGGCACGTTCCGGTTATTCGGAAATGCAAAAAACAATGCACATCCATCCTCTACCTATGTTGAAATTGTAATTCTTATTCTAACAGTATATATGCACATCTTAGTGCGTATATATTTCGACTTCAAACTAGGTTAGGTCAGGTCCGGTTATGCGGAAATTGTAATTCTTAGTCGCACAGTATACATGCACATCTATATCTGTCTGTCTATTTCGACTTCATCCTAGATTAGGCCGAATCAGGTTATGTAGAATCCAGCTTCATGTATAGTTTTTGTGGTAAACTGTGGAACGATGGAGTTTACAACTTTTTCTTTCGACTTTACTAGGAGTCTCGAGTCTGTCAAAACGTTAGGTACAAACGTATTGTCAAAGGACGCATAACGGTAGGAACTCAGCGAGAGCAAACATTAAAATTTTGTCTCGTAGCTCACTCTCATACACCCTGCCTCTCCTCTCCCCACGCCCTACGAGTGTATAGATATAGATATATATGCCAGTGCAGAAATGCTGTACTATGTCACTCTAAACCGTGCTGCGATAAATCAGTCCGGCAAGTCACAGTTATTCAAACAGCTGGTTCCTATGACTAAACTTAGCGAAATCCTACAAGATCTTATCACAAAGGCTTGCAAGATCTTACACCATCTTGTTGCAAGAAAAATTTTATAAGATTCTTCTGAAATCTTAGCTCTGATGATATCTTGTAATATGATCTTACAACTTTATATTTCAGTACTCTTCGCACTGGGCTATTCTCACAGTAAGAATTACAGTTTGCACATAACTTGACCTGACCTAACCTTCGTTGAAGTCGAAATAGACAAATAGATATAGATGTGAATATATACTGTTAGAATAAGAATTACAATTTCCACATAACCTGACCTGACCTAACCTAGGATGAAGTTGAAATACACTGAGTTGAAATACAAGTTTGAATACAAAAATTGGAAAGAAATGGATCAAGATCAAAACCAAAATTTCTAAAAAACTGCAGCAGAGTTCACGCTGACTGCTGCTGCTAGGCGTTATGGTCAGCAGTAGGGCACATATAGAGACATATTTGGCGAAAGTTTGAGCTCAGTTAGATTTTATCTCCTTATAATGTTTATAAAATACGGAATGATGAACTTTTCAAAACATTTTTAGCATAAAAATTTTTTAAAAAAATTTCAGGAAAAATTAATGTTATACATGGTTCGATACAACTCGACGAGCTAGTTCCGAATATCACTTTGGTTTTGCGCTAAAATGTTAGTCGCAAAAACAGGGATACGGAATCAGAAACCATGGTTTTTTTTGGAAAACCTCTAGCACAGCCCAGGATCACTGGCATTAATTGGCGCTATGATCAACAATAGAACACACAATTAGAAATATATAGCCAAAGGTTGAGCTCAATTTAACTTTAGCTCTTTGTAGCATTTACAAGATACAGAATGACGCATTTTTGTATCCAATTTCAGCCTAGTAGATTTTTTTTTCTGGATCAATTTGAGTTCAATCGAAATAATTTTTTCTTCCAAACCGAGCTCATAGATGAGCAATTTGCTTTACATAGTTGTTCAAATTAAATTATTTCAATCAGCTCATCAAAAAATTAAGACAGATAACGATTTTCGAACAAATTTTTAGTATGCATTTTTCTAAAATTCAACTTAATTTTTTAAAATGCTATTTCAGGACAAGATAGATTAAAGACAAAATTAATTATTCCAATCTTTAAACTTACAAAAATAACACTTTCGTTTTATGTCCGCCTGGTTGACCACTATGTACTTGGTCTTGGACCGGACCATACAGAGCCCTTTTATTTCCCCTTTACGATGGTATATATAAAATAAATAATCATGCTTTTTCTGAATTGCTGTATGCTCTTCTTTTAATTTTCTTAGTTGTTCTATAAAAAATGATGAAAAAACAGATTAATCAAAATTTCATCAGTTTATTATTTCATCTGGATGGCATCAGTTTATGCAAATCCATCAAATTAAAAATGTGACTTTTTGATTCATCAATCATAGAATTATGAGCAGAATTATGTTATCGACCACATAATATGACATTATTATCAATGTGGATGAGACATTGAGAACGAGATATTAAGTCATAACTAGGTGATTGTTTTCAAATGTTAAAGTATATGAAGAACAATGATACATAATCAATGAGTTGTCTCTGATACTATACTTGCAATGAATGCAGACGATGATGATTTGTTAACGTCTTTTTCTAATATCGTTTGATCACAGTTATTTTTATGTTTTAATATGGTTATCATTATTGTTGTCTTCTGTCTTCGTTTTATCGTTGTTCGCTGTTTTTCTGCACCATTTTTTGATACATATGATATTTTTTTCCTTCAATATTTTATTATCATCACCTTTGTTACTACTATTGATAAAAAATTCCTGTAGTTAATAACGTATCATCATCTGGGTCTTGTCTTGCATCATCATCACCATAATTATCATTCAGTTGTCCGTTCACTTGTAATTGAACTGTTTCATCACTGCTGAATGTTGCTCTGAAAGGATGAAGGTTGCTGAAAGCCTCAAAACAATTAGCAAGTGCTACTTCACCAAGGCTGTTAACTGCTTACAATTTTCTTTACCTTATTTTAATCTTAACTACCGTAACAGTGGACTTTTCGCACCGTCCAATGTCTCTGTTTGCTGCTGATGCTGTATGATTATTTTTACAGTTTTGTTGTAAGTTTCATATGAACGTATTATATTGTTGAATATGATTTGTTGATTTTCCTCTACTTGCTGTATGCGAGGATGTTGTTGTCGTTATGGAAGCATGTCTGTCCTCGATCAGACGCCTCGTAATTAGTTTAAAGATTTTTGATACTGTTGTTGTGGATGAGTATATGAATATGTCGTCTGATAATGTTCCTGTCTTTATTCAGTGAACTTTGATTGGTGTCTGATATGCTGTGTCTAACGCATGAAGCCGATCTCTTTAACTTTAAGTTTAATCTTCCAATGATGTGCATTTCGAAATTTTTAGCTGATGTTTAGTTTGGGGTGAAAATCTCGATAGTTTTTAAATTTTTGAAGAAAAGTTAGAAAAAATTAAGGTAGTCAGATAGGATAGAAATACTTATTATTGGACCCAGTTTTTGATGATTCCGAATATAATATTTTTATTGCATAAAACTTGAGTTCTGATAAAGAAAATTGAGAATTACGGGTACAGTTGCCAATTTTCCCATCTTATCTAGAAAAAAAGAATTTCCTCAGCAACGGAAAGGAGTTTTAAAAAAAAGCTCGCCGTACTTTTTTTGCCCGTGTAAAGACGAATCAAATGCAGTGTAAATCACAACTCCGTTCGTTAAACCAAAAAACTAGATAGTGTTGGAAAATTAGTTAGGGAAAAATGAGCAGTGCCTTTAAAAAAATTTCCATATCAAACATATTATATGTGAATGGGCTCTAGACAACGTTTCTAGACCCATTTGCATGCGAGGAATTCGAATATCATATTGGTGAGAGCGAAAAGTTACATGATGAGGAGACACTCGTTGTTTTTCAAAAAGTGAGCTTTTTGCGGTTGTTGACCTATGCTCAGTATTTTGGATTTTTCTCCGCGAAAACTAGGTCAAATCCAAAAAATAAGGTGATATTCGTAAGCAGCGTGATGTAAGCTATCGGAGCATGTATCTAAAAAGAAAAAAGAAAATGTGTGGAAACTTTGAATTAGAACTTACCTAAAAAAATCAAAGAATGTAGAATGAGAAAAAAATCAGCAACCAGTTGTTTTCAGTAAAACGCTTATTTTGATGTCAGAGTTATATAGTCCACAGAGATTTTTATCATATCTTGTAGGGAATAAAAAATTCTCTACAACGAAACTGAGGAGAAATGTAGTGTAGTAGTTTGAAGCAAAACAAAACGCCCGTTTCGGAGATTTCTTGAGTTTACGTTTCAGCGAGATGGTTGAGTAGAAACGCGCATATCTACACTGTAAATTCGTGTTCCATATAAACGGGTGACACTTTCACCCACTTATGTGTGTCATCATCCATCAAAGTGGGTGATTTTCCTTTGTTTATCACTCATCACCCACTTTAGCAGTTCAAAAGTGTTATCCTACTGGGTGACCGGTAATCCACTTTTATAGGTGACACTCTCTACAAAAATCGATTACCGGTCAACCAGCAGGATAATACTTTTGAACTGCTAAAGTGGGTGATGAGTAATAAACAAAGGAAAATCACCCACTTTGATGGATGACCTTCTGTAGAGAGGATAGGAGATTTTTGTGAATAACTTTCTCAAAAACTTTGCTAGCATTTGATAGAATAGATATTGAAAGATAGTTTATGTTCAAAGATTTGACTTCTCTTCTATGAATAGCTCTAATGAGAATAGATTTCCATGTACTTTGAAAAAGAACTGATTGTAATCAAATAGAAAATCTATGCTGGAATTTTGATTAGGCTAATTGATTAGTCGGAGGCTGACATCTATGTTAACTTTCGGTTAATCGACCGGTTAATTGGAAGATCCGAAAAAGAAATATATTTCATAAGAGAGAGGTGGTTAACAAAATCGCACAGTACACTACTTTTTGAATGGCGAGTTTCACGTACAGTGGAGATTCATTCATTGAAACTATCACAAATGAGACAATTATACCATAATAAAATTGAATTTCATCTAGATGAAATAACAAAAATGGGATAAAGTAATAATGTACCATTTAAGTTAATACTTCATAGACATGATTACAGGAAAATTTCCTTGTTTCCACCCATGTTGTCAAAATCGCCTAAGTTTGGACGATTAATCGTGATTTTCAAAAAAACAAACGATTCATCGCGATTTCGCCGAAAAAAATCGTCGATTTTTCGAATATTTGTGATTAATCGCGGTTAATCGGCCGTCTCTAACTAATAAAAACTTTGGTGACTTTTCTTGTTAATCAATCGCGATTAATCGGTGACTTTTCTGTCTTTTTGTCACCACCGTTTTGTTTTGTATCAGAAGAAATATATACAGGCTGATCAATTTATTTTGAAACTATTTGCATGCAGTTTTTCTTTACAAATCGTTTCTGAAAAAAAGTTCCTTACTATACCAAACGATAGACAATTTAATTCTCTACAAGATTATATATTCATTTTTAAGACTCATCTTTGATGTTTGGCACAGTAAGTCTAATAGGAAAAGCTTCAAACTTCTCAAGTTTAGCTTCAAGAAATTGATTTTGTGCGCAGAACCTCGCTAAAAATCATTTGTTCAACAAAACAAGGTATACCGAAAAATTCAGCAAGCAATTTTCTACAATATGTCTTTTTAATGACAAACAATGAGTTTTTAAATAACATTTCTTGTTAACCAGTTATAATCATATAGAGCGTTAGTCATTTAACTGTAGAACTGATGATTATTCTGAAAACAAAAAAAAGTTGGCTTGTTCAGTTACAGCCATCTGTACTAATTATAATGACATAAGAACGGCTTTTGATAATATTCCATCTGGTTTAATCTTCTCTAAACATCACATTGGATATAAATGACACAGTATTTAAAAACATGGTATCATTTTAATATTGTAACAGACCTGCACACAAAGATATGAAACAATTAATGCTTGTGAATCATGACTCGCATGCCCGATATATAAACCACCTTTATCATAATGAAAAATATCGCTATTTTCTGTTAGAGACGTTTCGTCTTTATTCAAATCAAACAGTGATGTTAGTTTACCGAAGAATACTGACCGTAGTTGAATTTAAAATACATGCGTTGACTTCTAAATATCTTTAAATGAACGTTGATCAAGTTCTTCAATTTTTTTCATCCGATCATCATACGTTAACTTTGATAATTCGGTTATCTGATTTGTTATCCATAGTAATCTTCTTTTTAGCTAATGATTTTAATTTAGTTAAACTTTGACAGCGACGGTTTCCAGTTGAGTGTTTCGCAGATATCTCAGCGCTAATGGTGTTTGTTGAAACAGAAAAATCACTATTTAATATACTAATTATTGTATCAGTATGACTGGTTGTATCAACATACGTTGTTGAGACTGTATTAGATTAAAACTAGAATTATGATCCTGATTTTGACGACTGCTATCGGATCGTGACATTAGTGTTTCAGTTGTTATTGTAGTTTCAAAGACAGGTGCACGATACGACGGCTTGAAGCCCACTTCCAGGCACAGCAGTGCCGTTGGCGGCGGTTGAATGGTCGTAGGACTAATTGATATCATATTTGTTAAATTATTGTAGTATAGTAGTAGAGTAATGATGAAGGCAACTGTCGTGAGATTGTGCTGAACTGAGTAAGTTTAGATACTGCTTCAAAATCTGATGTTTTTCTTGTTCGCTAAGCGCAAGAAAGTAATCATCGAAATTTTCAAATTGTAATGGACATTGCTCAGAGGTAATATTTGTATGAGTTTGAATATCTCCATTTATCACCGCTTCATTATCGTAGTTTTCAGTACTAAATACCTCTTTTTCAAACAGAAACAATGACTGATTCGAAGCTATAGCCAGAGAAATCTGCTTTGAATCAAGAGCTATCTCATTTACCACTGTGCCGGTTTGATTATTTGAATTTTCATCTCGATTATGAGTGGTTTCATCAGATAATTATGATGTAAGAAGGCCAATTGACGGAATCTGATCATGAATATGATATGTTTCTTTTGTTTGTGATACCACGGATAAGACAGTGGTTGTGATAGTTGATGATAAGTTGTTATAAACTTTTATTTGAGAGAAGGAAGTGTGAAAAACTTCAGTACAAATAATGAAAAGAAGGAGGCGAACCTATTACATCTTTACATATTGACTGAGGACAAAAGACAGGACAAGAGTACATGATAAGAACGATACACAACGACAA